AGCTTAGACAATACATTAACGTCAATGGACTGGTCAGTTGAACAGAAAAGTGGCAAATGGAATTTAATCCAAAGAACTGCAAGGTTACGAACTAGGGATAACACTTTGTTGGCTGGCACAGACATACAGGCAGAAAGGCCGGTGTTGTCATATTTTCTAATTTTTTTTGCTTCATTGTGTAAAAATTGGCATGGATTCAGCAAAATGACTCCTCAACCTATTTCCTATCTCCAGCTGCCCCTGTTCTAGTGAAAAGAAAACAGACGGACAGCATACTTAGATCAGTGTTTACCAAGAGCACAATACCCACATAATCCAGCCATGAGGAAGATAGTTACAGCTCACTTATCAAGTAATTGTTTTCTATCATTACCCATTGTGCAACCTCCATTTCTATTGAATATGCAATTGGCAGCGGTGTGAAGTGTCTCTGAATTCCCAGGGTCATCCCTCAAATTCTTTTACTAAATGTCCTGCATTACAAACTATTTCAACATTGTCTCCACTGAAGCGACCTTACCATTAAATGACCACTCATGCACAAAAACAAAAAGTCTGTCCCAATCAGGCTGACCTCAATGAGACAAAGCTCTGCACAATGCTTTGAATAAAGTATTTTCTGTAGGAACAGTGAAAGGACTATTATTCTGTTAGGGTACCCCTGAAATAAGATTTTGATGGCTACAAATGTTGTAGATGCAAATTAATGAGCAATCTATGGTAATTTGGCTCAATGTGAAGCAAATGCTTGAAGAGTTGAGTGAATATACTTTTTAACTAATAAAAACTTTAGATGGAAAGGACAAATAAATCTGCATATTCTGATGTAATAAAATCAGTAAATTTACTCAAAAACTGGGAATCAAAGGATTTGTTTATTAAAAAGGGTAAAGATTATTGAATTACCTTCAGGTTATATTCATAGAGATTCAAATCCCAGTTCAGAAGCCAAATGGTTGAATCAAGCTTTTCAAGAAGGTACAGTTTCATGAAGATTAAACAATTTCAAACAAGGCTGGATAGACTAGGACTTTTTCCACTGGAGCTTTGAATCAACAGTCCAGTGATAATACCTGAGACCCAGATAATGTTCTGGGGATGTGGGTTTGAATCCTGCCATAGCACATGTTGGAATCTGAATTCAATAAATATCTGGAATTAAGAGTCTAATGAAGACCGTGATTCCATTGTTGATTGTTGGGAAAAAAAAAACATCTGGTTCACTAATATCCTTTAGGGAAGGAAACTGCTATCCTTACCTGGTCTGGCCTACATGTGACTCCAGACCCACAACAATGTGGCTAACTCTTAACTGCCCTCTGGGCAATTAGGGATGGGCAATAAATGCCACCTAGCCAGCAACGCCCTCATCCAGTGAATGAATAAAGGATATTCTATTCCCTTTACAATGGGCAATAAATTAATTGGTCATTTTCTCATTGTTTTTGGAACTTTGATGATCAGCCACATCATTACATATGTGGTGTACAGAAGGTCCCGAACAGTATTGACAAAAGGGATATGGAAAGGAGGGGTCAGTCCAGAACTAAGGGGCACTGTTTTAATATTAGGGATCACCCTTGGACAGATATGAGGTGACCAGCAGCGTGCTTTTCGTCTTTCATATAAATGATTTGGATGTGAATATATAAGGTTTGGTTAGTGAGTTTGCAGATGACACCTAAACTGGTGGTGTAGTGGACAGCGAAGGATGTTACCTCAGAGTACAATGGACCTAGATCAGATAGGCAAATGGGCAGAGCAGTGGCAGCCAGAGTTTAATTAGATAAATGTGAGGTGCTGCATTTTGTTAGGGCAAATCAGGACAGGAATTTACCATTACATGTAAGTGTAAAAGTCCTGAGAAGTGTTGCTGAACGAACAGACCTTGGGCTGCAAGCTCACAGTTCCTTGAAAGTGGAGTCACAAGTAGACAGGGTAGTGAAGAAGGCATTTGTTACGCTTGCCTTTATTGGTCAGTACATAGAGGTTAGGAGGTAATGTTGCAGCTGCACAGGACATTGGTTAGACCACTTTTGGAATAGTGCATTCAATTCTGGTCTCCCTGCTATAGGAAAGATGTTGTAAAATTTGAAAGGGTGCAGAAAAGATTTACAAAGGATGTTGCCTGAGTTGGAGTGTTTGAGCTATAGGGAGAGGCTGAACAGGCTGGGGCTAATTTCCTTGGAGCATCAGAGGATGAGGGTGACCTTACAGAGGTTTATAAAATCGTGAGGGGCATAGACAAGGTGAACAGTTAAGGTCTTTTTCTCAGGGTAGGGAAGTCCAAACTTGAGGGCATAGGTTTGAGGTGAAAGGGGAAAGAGTTAAAAAGGGATCCAAGGGGCAACTTTTCACGCAGAGGGTGGTGCACATACGGAATGAGCAGCCAGAGGAGGTGGAAGAGGCTGGTACAATTACAACGTTTAAAAAGGCGTCTGGATGGGTACATGAATAGGAAGGGTTTAGAGGGATTTGGGCCAAATGCTGTCAGATGGGACAAGGTTAATGTAGAATATCTGGTAGACATGAACGAGTTGGACCAAAGGGTCTGTTTCTGTGTTGTACATCTCTATGACTCTAAATTTTTCTTTCTGAAGGTTGTTCAGCTTTGGAACTTTCTGCCTCAAAAGTGGAGGAGGTACATCATTAAATACTTTAAAATCAGAGGTAGATAGATTCTTGCTAGGCAAGGAAAACAGACATTATCTAGGAAAAATGGGAAATTGAAATTTGATACAAAAGATCAGACATGAGGGGCTAAATGGTCGACTTCTGCTCCTATTATATATGTGTGTTTGTGTATAATTTTTAAAAAGGTGATTCTTGTCAGTGAAGTGCTTTGGGATGTTCTGAGGGCATGAAAGACTTACATAAAAGCAAGTTCTTCCTTTGATAAAATTGTATGGTTTTATTCCCCTTGAGCACATTTGTTAATTTACTGATATATAAATTACTTTCCATTGGATAGAAATTAATGTTCCAAATTTAGACAGTTTGATTAAAGGCAAAAGATGACAATTATCCTATTTGATGTCTTGCTTGGCAGTACATTTCCTATACTCTGAAAATTTTCAGACACAATTCAGCCAGTTTTAATTCCCCTTCTTTCCCAAGCTTAAACTTTAAACAGTTAAAATTCATGCCTCATTACAGTTGCACAAACACCATAAAGCATAGTTCACTTCACCAAATAGCAGCAAGAGACTAGAGATATAATATTTTAGCTCTGCAGCTCATCATATCACTACTGAGGAAGCACTGTAGTGCATGGTATCAACTGTGTGAGAGCCAGTATTCAGTTTTGTAATAATTAGAAAAAACATCATATTCACAGAATATGTAAACATTTCATATTCAAATCATTATGCTTTTAAAGTGGAATAACTGCTGTAAGCCAGAAGAATAACCTGCATGGGAGGTGCAGGTATAAAACATGTCATTTTTGAGGTGAAAATGTCCCAAGATGGCAGGCAGATGACAGGGAACAAGTGTCAGAAGCAAATCAATCCTTTGCACTGACTAAATAATTCAATGCCCAAACCAGATAATTCTTCCACATTCCAAATCATGGCTGATGCCTAATAAGACAATCCACCTTACTAACAGGACTTGGCGATGACCCTATTAAACAGGGTCACTTCTGATAACTCTACAAGTCAATACTCCTTCCATGGTCTAGTGTAAGTTGCACAGATTTGACTGCCTAAAATTAAGTGAGGGATCCAAATACTTAATATTATGATATAGGTTTGTAATATATTTTATTGTTTGGGAACTTGGATCCTACGGTTGTATTAAAATGGGTTTTTATGTTTACTTCTGTAACTTGTTTTGTTACAAACAAAACAAAAGCGTCATCAGCTCCTAACAAGCCCAAGAAAACATATTACTTAAGGTAAATGACTAGCAAGGTAACTAGGAAGGTATTTACAATGTTAAGTTTTTAATACCATAAATAAAAAGAGGTCAGAGGGCAGTAGCAGGCATAGTTCAGAGGGAAAGTACATACCAGCAGATGGGCTACATAACAGCCTCAAAGCAGTTAAAGTCGACAGAAAATTAAGTGAAAGTTAGTCTGTCTCTATATTTCAAGGAGAAAAGGCAAAAATCACATCCTGATGGGTCAGAGGATGAGGGTGACCTTATAGAGGTTTATAAAATCATGAGGGGTATAGAAAAGGTGAATAGTTAAGGTCTTTTTTCCAGAGTAGGGAAGTCCAAACTCGAAGGCATAAGTTTGAGGTGAAAGGGGAAAGTCACCAAAAAGAAATGCTTGCAACTTTGTCAATCAGATAAGAAATTTTATAGTAAGGGTATTTTTCGCTGAGCTTATGTTCTGCAAAAGACATAGCTGGGAACAAAGAGTTGAATCTGTCTTTTTATTACTTATGATAAAATGTTTCAAACTTGTCATATATGCAAGCTTAGATTTTTTTCCCTGTTTTTGTACAATAAATTAATATTCTTCTGTTAAAGGTACACTAGCAGCTCTATGTCAACAAGTGGCTGACCATCAAATTGCTAAAATAAAACCTTTACTCTGGGATTTAATTTGCTCTGTATTACCATCAACTGCGATCACGAAATTAGTAACTGCACCTAAACCTTCTGAACGCAAGCCACGGTTCCCAGAATCAGCTTTTCATCCATGTTGGTCAAATAAATTCTACTTCTGATTTCTTATTGGTCTGAGAAGTCATCAACGTGTTCAAGTTTTAAGTGCCAGGTTGAGCTCAAAGTTTGCCGTATTTGAGATATTTTATACAGTTCATTTCAATTCAAAAGTCACATTTTTAGTAAATGGTAAAGCAAGATGTGGATTCTTCCTTGAAATTCAATGATGAGGAATAAAAAAATTATTAAAGAAAAGTGATCCTGCCACAATATTGAAAATATTTCTCGGTAGTATTTAAGTTTCTCAGATATTATACATTGCTTCTAGCAAAATGTATTGCAAGTTTGAATTAAGGCTAAATTGAAAATACTACTTGCCATACCTGTTTTTGTAAAGCAAGTTGTCCCTCCACTTCTTGGACTCTGCGCTGAAGATTTTGTTTTAGTTTCTGATACTCTTCACGTTGTCCATCAATCTTAGAGTCTTTTGAACTGCATTTTAAAATATTTACAAAGCAGCAATTAAGAATCACAAATTAGTCTTAAGGTTTCTTTAGTATTAGAACATATTATTCATGATACTAAAGACAGCATAATCCCTAAAATCTGATGTCAAGCACATTTAAAAATATATAGTTATACAGTTGGTAACACATATAATGCACATTAGGCAAAACTATTTCAAAATTTTATCAATGGAAGGTATAAAAGACAGCTAGTGCAATCTGTTGCCTGTAATCAGGCTTTCAAGATTAGAACTGCTAGTATGCAGACAATTAAAAAGGCACCCAATGTCTGAGTCTATCCAGCTATTTGCTAAGCCAAAATGAAGGATGCAGAACATATGCACAAAACAATAATGCATTAGCTTGTTTTAACTGAGGTAGTAGTCAGTCCTCAAATCCCAGAATTATGGCACGGGGATCCTATTTACACTTGATAACACTTAATATAAATGTATTCATCCGGTCTTCTATGGAGGATAATAGTGGGCATTTTTTTAAAAAATATAAACTAATTCACAGTGTTGTTGGCTGAGCCAGCATTTATCGCCCACCCCAAATTGCCCAGAAGGGAGTTAAGAGTCAAGCACATTGCTGTGGGTCTGGAGTCACATTTGGGCCAGACCCGGAAAGGGTGGTGAAATAACTCTACAGAGGCAGATACGCAGTCTCCAAGTCTTTATTTACCAAAGAACAGTCAGTGACTATAATACTGCCTCATACCGAGTCAGGCACCAGAAAGTGTTAGTATCCCTGACCTCAATCTTTTTATGTCAGCCAGAGCTCACTGGTTGGACCAGAATAACATCTCCAATCAGGGAACTCATGGGCCTTGTTACAATCACTGGAGGTGCAGTTTCATTCCCTAAAAGGACATTAATGAACCCTGACAAATCAGCAAGTCTCATGATCATTAAATCTCTAATTCCAGATTTTTATTGAATTCAAATTCCACCATCTGCCATCATAGGATTTGAACGCAGGTCCCCAGAATATTACCTGGTCTCTAGATAATCTAGCATAATACCACTAGGCCATTGCCTTTCCTCTTTATTGGGCTGAGGGTATTGGACAGACTTAAAGCTAAATCCAGAATAAAGGTTAGTTGTTATGTGCTGGAAAAGAACAGGTTTTCTTGCAACTCAACCCCAGTTAGCAGACAATACCTTTGCTAGTAGAAAAGGTTGAAAATACATCGGATTGAAAATAAAGTAGTTTCCTTCATTAAATTTATCCACTTAATGAAATCTGGCATGAGTCGAAAAGTCAAACAGTCAACTAAGAAAATTTGTTTCAAAATTGTGAAGAAAAATACAATAACTGTTCATTTTTGCTGCTTTCTGCATCCCGAGATGAAATTTGCTATTCACATCTCCCTTTAAAATTACAGTAGTGAATTTAAGTTGCAGTTCTGGGGCATCGTAAACATTAGAAAAAGGTATATACAGACTAGGCACATACAAAAACATGCTGCAGAATCACAAAGGATTCAACCTATTTGGAATCAGTTAAAATGGATGATTAATGACATCTATTCACGCTTACTTTCGTGGTCCTTTGTAACTTGCCAAGTGAGCTGGTAATGTTACAAAAAGATTGTGTGGCATTGCAGCTTTAAACAGAAGGCACATAGAAGCTGATGAACCATAGTATTTCCAACATCATTAGGTCACAATCTACAGAAACTGCAGGCATTCTTATGCAAGATATTTCTCGGCCTGACCATACCTGCGTATCTTCTCTATTTCTAGCTGATGTGCTTTTAGTGCATGTTGGTACTGAAACTGCACTTCTTCCCGAGCCTTTGTTTCCTTAGTCACAAGTTCTTGCATCTTGTCAATCTGAATTTGCAGATCACTGATCTCTGCCTGTTTGCAGCTTTCAGTAACCTTCAGTTGAGCAAATATAGCATCATATCGTTCCAAATCTTGATCTCGTTCCTCCAATACCTTTAGGTTAAACATAAAGTCCTCTTTCAGTTTGTTAAACTTTTCTTGCTGTTCTTTGAGTTTACTTTGTGAATCTCGAAGTGCAGTATCTAGTGACTGGACACGTTGTATCTGAAGGTCCTTCCATTCCTGTTCCTTCTGAGCAAGAAGTTTATCAAAATTATCTTCTTGAAGCATTCTGGAATGTTACACCTTATAAATGAAACAAAACAGGTTACTCAAATGTACAGTTACACTGAGGAATTAATGCTCCCTGCGGTCCACACAATTTCTTGGAGCATTGTCAAACTAGTAAGTTGCACCAACCAAAAATATGAAACTGTCTAATATACACAAATACTGACTGACCTATTGTGTACTCTAAATTTTACAAGAGCTGATGTGCAACTGGCTGGAAGTGGGATTGGATAATTTCCCAATGAGATGATCAATTTGTTAAATATGCCACCAGGTGCAATGGTTTGAGGCATAAGAAGATTCTAAAAATATATTCATTAAAACTTTGTAAATGGCACATTATGGTATAATTCAGCTGTGACAGTTCACATGTCCAATGAAAATCCAATTATTTTAAATTCACTGCACGAATGAAGAGGTCAAATGTTTTTCTCCAAAAGGATGTGTCTCGGGAGCTTTGAGGGTTATATCTTCATTCTTGCTTTAGTTAAGTCATGTAGTAACAATATTTTCTGTAGTTCTGTTGACATAGGTATTAGACTCAAGCAGAAGCAGAATTAGAAGAATTCATTAGTTTCAAATAAATTTTACATTAAACTTAAAGCAACAATAGACCAAAGTATTGATTTCCTGGACACCACAAGGCAATAGACATGGGTTAACCAAATTTTGCCCCACCTTCCCCACCCCCCAAAATAAACTGACATAAAACTTGCACATACAAAAACAAAACCCAACCTAAACACACCTTCCTCAGACTGGTGAGGTCTCAGCCAGTGCACAATGCCAAACTTTAAACAGGTATTACTGCCTTTTTTACTGTACATTGAATCTCAACCCAGATTTAAATTTGACTATTGAAACCGGGTTCATTACAACAACATTCATTATATTTACCCCAACCCCTCATATTCTTGAAACTTAAGCTAAGAATTAACTTCCTCAGTAATGGATTTCAAGATGTGCCCCCAACCACGTCCATCTAACAGTCTCCCCCTTCCCTACACCTCCTTCTGGGTCTTTCTGCCTGCTCCCTCCACAGACCAGTTTATATTATCTGCATTCCTCCTTTGAGCCTCCTTTACTCCAACATTGCTCCCTTCAGCCTCACAAACCCCTTCATTCCTCCATTTGACCTCAAATTAACTTGAAAGTCCAAAAATAAAATAAACGTATAAACTTTGTTTTGTAACACAGAACAACATCATAATTGAATTTTATTGTTGCATCAACTCTTAAACTTCTTCAGTGTAAATGACATTGAAGTTATCCCAGACATCGATTTGAATGATGTCAAAAAGGAATATTAAGGATGCCATGGTCAGGTTTTCCAGTCTATTCAGAATATCTTGTAAAGTATATTTCTTTCAGCACTTTGTATTTCAAGAGTACAGCTGATAGCAAGATAAGTGCATGTAGGCTGTCAGCAGTGTTTCTAGATATACACAATCCACCTATACTACAGAGACCGAGATTTTCTACTGGAAGGGTTTTGCGAATGTGTCTCCTTTCTAAAAGTTCAAATCCTAATTCCTTTAAAAACGTGTCAATGAAAATCTTGCTATCTGCAGTGATAGCAGCAAATTAAGGACTATACAATAACAAAGGGGTGATATAACCCAAAGTACTTAATGTCTTAATGCAAATAAATTAAAATGCACACTTCCCAATTCTTTTTCAACTGGAACAATCCTTTTGTTTTAAATTCACTTGAGAGACACAAGCATCACTGGATGGGTCAACATTTATTGCCATCACTATTTGCTCAAGAAGGTGGTGGTGAGCTGTCTTCTTGAACTGCAGTCCATAGACTGTAGGTAGACTAATAACACCATAAGGGAGGGAGTTCCAGGATTTTGATCCCATGGCACTGAAGGAACAGTGATATGATTATGAGTCAGAATGGTGAGTGGGTTCAGAGGTAACTTGCAGGCAGTGTTGTTACTCAAAACAGAGCAAAAAAAAAGAATAATAATAATAAAACGTTGTAGACTTGACAATAAGAGGTCGAATTCAATACCTGTATAGTTCTATGATATGCCACTTGTTATCTGGCTAGCTACACAATTAATTAGCAAATTAACCAGCACAACATTAGAGGAGATTTGATGGCACAGGGACATATACCATATGTTACGGACAATGATGAAGCTCAGTGTCCAATATCTTACTTAGCTTTTGGTAAAAATGATTTCATACAAGTCTCACCATGTGAGACAAGAGTAATTCAGGTGGAATTTGGGTCGCAACAGCAGTTACAATACTACCCAGCAGTTCCATACATCTTTATAGTGTGTGATTCCTGTGTATTCTTAAATACTTTCAGAGAATAAATACAAAATGAGGAGATGGCATTTTTTTTCCCCCCCAACAAGAAAAAAATCTACAACATGAAGACTTTTCAGTGAATCATCAGTACTAAAAACATCACTAATATGAAGTGTCATTTTTATATCCCTCCAAACTAAACAAAAACTAAAAATGAATTCCTGGGCATTAGACATGAATTTTTGATGTGAGACACAAATCTAATATACAATGGCTCAGCTTGCTTGTATCTCCACCATTCAATTCAAATTTAGTCAAGGAAAAGTTAAAATTAGCACCATCATGCAAAAAGGAAAAACAATACATTGCTCTATAACTAACTACTTCTTCCCCTTCTCTGAATGCTAGCGTGTCTTATGAAAAACCTGAACTATTTTGTTTGATTTGGAATCTGCAACATAACCCTAAATGTGTTCAAAAGGGTCAGATAAAGAAACAATGCAGTTAATCATTGTTCAACTGGGTTTAAAGATGTACAAAATGTTATATCCAGTGTATGGTGATTAATTCTATGTTTTTATCGTTAAAGTTTGATTGTTCTTCTCATAATTGATTCATGCTGCTGACATATTAACAATTATTAAAGAATCATTGAACACTGGATAAGAACCAACAGTCTGAAAGAGGCTATTATAGTTATTGCACATCTGCAAATAAGTGTCAAGACAGTCAGAAACAGCCAAAGTCCTGCAGTGAGGTGAGTGACTGCCCTTGACACTAAATTAGCATTTGACTGAGTGTGCCATTAAGGAGTTCAAGCAACATTGAACTGTATGGGAATCAGGAGAGAAACACTATACTGAACACAAAGGAACATGCCTGAAGTTGCTGAAGTTCCTCAAGGTAATATCCTAGGCTGAAACAACTTCAGTTGTATCTCCCAGACATCATTAGATCAAAGGTGCGATGTTTGCTAATGATAGCATGGAGTTCAGTTCCATTCACAATTCCTCAGATACTAAAGCAATCCAGATGCAGAGTGACAACAAGGTGCAGGGCTGGATGAACACAGCAGGCCAAGCAGCATCATAGGAGCAGAAAGGCTGACGTTTCGGGCCTAGACCCTTCATCAGAAAAGGGGGAGGGGAAGGGGGTTCTGAAATAAATAGGGAGAGAGTGGGAGGCGGATAGAAGATGGATAGAGGAGAGGATACAAACAGGTCGAAGAGGCGGGGATGGAGCCAGTAAAGGTCAGTGTAAGTGGGGAGTTAGGGAGGGGATAGGTCAGTCCAGAGAGGACGGACAGGTCAAGGGGGCGGGATGAGGTTAGTCGGTAGGAGATGGGGGTGCGGCTTGAGGTGGGAGGAGGGGATAGGTGGGAGGAAGAACAGGTTAGGGAGGCGGGGACGAGCTGGACTGGTTTTGGGATGCGGTAGGGGGAGGGGAGATTTTGAAGCTTGTGAAATCCACATTGATACCATTGGGCTGCAGGGTTCCCAAGCGGAATAGGAGTTGCTGTTCCTGCAACCTTCGGGTGGCATCGTTGTGGCACTGCAGGAGGCCCAGGATGGACATGTCGTCTGAGGATTGGGAGCGGGAGTTGAAATGGTTCGCAACTGGGAGGTGCAGTTGTTTATTGCGAACCGAGCGTAGAGTGTTCTGCAAAGCGGTCCCCGAGCCTCCGCTTGGTTTCCCCGATGTAGAGGAAGCCACACCGGGTACAGCGGATGCAGTATACCACATTGGCAGATGTGCAGGTGAACATCTGCTTGATGTGGAAAGTCTTCTTGGGGCCTGGGATGGGGGTGAGGGAGGAGGTATGGGGGCAGGTGTAGCACTTCCTGCAGTTGCAAGGAAAAGTGCCGGGTGTGGTGGGGCTGGAGGGGAGTGTGGAGCGGACAAGGGAGTCACGGAGAGAGTGGTCCCTCCGGAAAGCAGATAAGGGTGGGGAGGGAAAGATGTCTTTGGTGGTGGGGTCGGATTGCAGATGGCGGAATTGTCGGAGGATGATGCGTTGGATCCGGCGGTTGGTGGGGTGGTACGTATGCAGAGAGACCTGGATAGCATTCAATCATGGCATATGTTACATAAGTGTTTGGTACTGATTAAACTCTCTCTTATTACATCTTGAGATTCAACAACATCAACATTTTCTAGACCCCCAGCATCAAAATGCAGCAGTTTGTCATTTTAAAGAAACTTAACAGCATCAGCCTTAAAAAGCTACAAAAACCAAGACAGCAGTTAGATATTCTGCAGCAAGTAACTCACTGCCAAACCGCCCAAAGCATCACCACCATCTACAAAGGAACAGCTCGGAGTGTGTTGGAAGCACTCTTTATTTGACAAATTGGACTCTGCTCTAACAACAACAAAAAAAAGGTCCACTTCATTGGCATAACATTCAGTCTTTCCATCACGAACACACAATGACTGCAGTATGTACTGTCTACAAGACTAACTGTAACCAACTATTGAGGCTTTTACACCAGCAACTTTTAAACCTGTGACTTCCACTGTCTGGAAGGACAAGGAAATTGTGTGGGTGGGAACAGCACTATGCACAAGTTCCCTTCCTGGTAACACAACATTCTGATTTAGATGTATACCATAATTTTTTCACAATCACTGCATAAAAAGTGCAAAATGCCCTAACAGCATTGTAGGATGACCTACACTAGACAAACTGCTATAGTTGAAGAGTGCATATACCATTACCTTCTCAAGGATAATTAGGGTATGTGTCA